TTGAATTTCAGCCTGGATCAGGAACAGTGTAGGGGTTGGTCTCTTCTCCCAGGCAACCAGCAGGCGGACAAGAGGGCAGACTCAAGCACTGCCAGGGGAGGGTTAGGTTGGATATTAGGAAAAGATTTTTTACAGAGAGAGTGATCAGGCATTGGAATGTGCTGCTCAGGGAGGTGGTGGATTCACCATCCCTGGAGGTTTTCAAGCTGAGACTGGATGTGGCACTTAGTGCCATGGTCTAGTGACCATGGTAGGGTTGGACTTGATGATCTTGGAGGTCTTTTCCAACCCGATTGATTCTATGATTCTACGATTCATTTCCAAGCTTCTCTCCCCAGCTGTGCTATCTTTCCAAGTTCCTAAATTTCCTAACCAGTGTGACATTCCTTTGCACTTTGTGTGTGGCTGGGGAGGCTGATGAAAGCTTCCTGCCCATCAGCCCTTCACACTGCACCTCGTCAGCAGCACAGGTACAGCCTCCTATCAATAACACAGGACCATCTGTGTTTGTACAGCCCAAAACTCATCTCTGCTGTTAACAAGGAGCAGCTTTAGTGCCCAGAGAGTCAAAACATGTTGACCTAATTTTCTTGTCACTTAGATATTGGCAGGTGATGATTCTCAGTTGTTTTCAGCAATGTTCTGTGACCTATGAGTAATTCCTTTAGCAACACAGACTAAACCAGACTTGCCATTTAATCTGGGATAGGTCAGTGTTTAACTGCTTGATTGTTTTTCTGGAAATGTGATGTGTGTATCCTGAGCCTCACAATGTGCTTGTTAGTGAGCACTTTAGAACAGACTCCGAAAAGGTCATGAGAAAGCAGACTTTGTTGTTGTAGTGCTGCAAGAAAGGTAATCAGGAGTATCTCAAACTTTATTAGTTCGAAAACTAATCTCTGGCCAAATCCAGTTCATTTAAAGATCCTGGAGTTAAAACATCCCTGGAAATTAACACAGATTCTGTTAGAGTGTATAAAAGAAACTATACCTGATACAAGTGAGCACAGAGACAATAAGCCATTGCCTTTTGGGGCATTAGAGCAGTGATCCAACTGTGTTCTGGGGAAGTTTCTGCTTCAGTGTATAGTCCAGTCTGTCCTTGCTAAGCTGCCACATCCTTCTGGCTGCATGCATTTGAAATCATAATAATGATCATGTGGATACCTTCTAATTTGACTGTAATTTAAATGCTGCTTTCTCAGCTCCCTGGCTCTAATTGCAGCTCATTGAGGCAGCAGCCACACTCGCCATGCAGGCTGGAGTAACTGCCTGCTACCAAACAAATGGAAATTAGGAACTGAAACAACTGCTCTGCTGTGCTCTGCAGAATGGGCTTTACAGGTAATGGATCACATTCAAGTGGTAGAAGTCCTTGGGTTACTTTGCATTTTTATCTCCCCTGTGGGTACAGTAGAGCTATACAAAAGAAACCAGGGCAGGTTTAAAAGAACTGTGTGGCCCACACGACACTTTAGTGAACTCAATTTGCAGAGAGAGACTCCCTCAGAGCCTGGAAACCACAACCCTGTGCTCTGATCATTTTTCTCTGGGCACTGATGGCGTCAGTGCTGATAGCTGCTCCCTCATGTTGTGTTAGTGTTTTTGGCTCTTTGCCTTTGAGATTCCACTGGGATTAGTAGCATGGAGATGGTGATTACTGCCACAGAAATAATAGGAAGAAAGTCACATTAGAACATGAAAGAAGGATCCTTTCAAAATGTGTGGCGAAAATAGGACTGGGCTTTATGTATCACTGTAGCCAGGAGGATCCATCATAGTCACTCTTGACAGAGCAATAGGGAAATGAAATGTCTTCTAGCTGGGAAGGAGACACATTTCTTTCCTCATCCCTGGCATAGCAGCTTGCCTGCTAGTCTCTAAAATGCACCACTGGTGTTGGAACCAGCTCTGTCATTCCTTTCTCTAGGAGGCAATGCCGTTATTAGCATGACACTGTGAGCACAGCTCCCTCTGGACAGGCACACTGCAAGCAGCACTAGGGGAGTGCTGGGTGGAATATATCATTCATGTAGGGGAGAAAACTGTAAGATTATGGCAACTGTTTGCTGTGTAGTAGCCAGCAAGTGGCTCACTGAGGCTGCTCAGAACAAGCACCACACTTTTTGGGTGAAGCCCAAGTTCTTAGCAATAGTTTATATTATTCAGCTCCTACTATTTACTGCTTTTCTACGAAGTCTATCCTTTTTTTTTTGTTTGTCTGTTTTGATGGGGATGCAAGTGTACTCAGGGGATGACAGATAGAGTTGAGAGCTGCTGAAAACCAAATTAAGGTTTTTGAGTTCCACTTCCAGCTCTGTAACTGACTTATTGTATTTTAATTTCCTGTCCATAAACTGTGGCTGAAGTTCACAGTTCTGTTCTCAGAGAGGTTATAAAGACAGATTAATTTGCATTTTAAATTTCAACTAGAAGATTTATTGATAGAAGCCCTAAAGATCTATAAAGTAATGCAACAAACTTAATGCAATATAGGTTATTATTGAAGTAATGTGCACACTAGTTAAGGTCAATTCACATCTTTGCTGAAACTTGGCTGAATAGATAAATTAGCACCCAAACATTCTGAACATGCTGTGGGAACAGGTAATGACCAAAAGTAGCAAAGACTAGTTAATTTATTCTCCAGAATCATCAAACTTCAGTCCCAAGTCATCAGGTTAGGTCATTCAGTTATTAGCCATTAGCTTAGAGGCTATTGGATGTTTCTGTGTCTAAGTGCTATGAACCTGAAGACAATGCAGCAGCTATTGACCTCTAAAATACTGCTGAGTAAGCACAAAGAAAGTATCGAGAGTTGTAAAGAAGAAAAAGAAAGCAGTGACCCAGAGAAATACCAAACTGGAATCATCCCCTCTTTGAAATTAGGCTGAGAGCTGCTTTGCCTACCTTTCCATAATCACAGTGTTGGAAGAGATCAGCAAACATTTGCCTCTGTGTATCACGTCTTGTTGCTTCTTGGAAGTCACCAGCACACTGACTGAGGTATTCCATGAGTTCCTGGAACGTGTCATTTGAAACATGTTCTGTGTAGAAATGGACAAACTACGGAGAGAAGACAGCAGTGTCCATGGTTAACTTTCTTCGAGTATTTACACCTTTATTTGAACTCCTAGAAATCTATTGCATGCAATGAAATTGAGGAATTTGTAGTTTAATCTGCCAACACAACACAGACTTGGTGCCTACTTTGTCCTGTCCTTCAGAAGAAACCATGTTCTTCAAACAAGCCTGGGCACTGCACAAATGCCTCCTGAACAGCTCCTTGCCTGGCCCAGAGGTCACTTATCTTGCTCAGAGGTTCAGAGATGCTGGATCAGATCCCTCCCATGAAATGTCATGGCTTAAGCTCAGCTATCTGGGGGAGGATTTAAGTTCTCCATGGTTTTCTGCAGCATTTAGTATTCCTGACTTTACTCCCCAGGAGGCATTTTGAGCCATTATATTTTGCAGATCTGGCAGTCACTCAGCTCTCAAATGCCACAAAATGAGCATTGTCCACAATCTCAGTGTTTAGAGAGCCAGTCTGGGTACAATAAAAAAATGAAAGATCCTTTTGAAAATGAGCCTGCTGTCACCTAAGTCCTCTGACACTGGGAATACTCCTGAGCTGAGATTTATTTTAAGTTCCAGCCTCAGAGACACTTTAACACTTTGGATTTATAACCATGTGGCTTTTATGAGCAAAAGCAATATGGTTCTAAAATGTGGTGTGCATGACATAAATAATAACAGCCATCAGAACAAACCACAGCCCAAAGCCTGGGCTGAATTATTATAGCAGGTTTCTGGAGCCACTCACACTAACAGGGAGCACATAGAGTTAAAAGGTGGAATTTCCACAGCACAGAGTGTTTCCCATTATCCTATTTTTAGAGTATGGATACCTGACAGAAGTGTTACAACATCTTGGACTTGTTGAAATGCCACACAGGCATTAACAAACTGAAATATTCATCTCTGTTATTATTATTCATGCCTGTGTTGCATAATTTCCAAATACATGGGACAAGTGGAAAAGAAAGGAAGAGCAGAAAAAAAGCAATGGCCTGAGGGGTGGCTGGTGGGAAAGCAAAACTCCTGGTGCAGTGTGGGTGTTTTCTGCATTTCAGCATAAAAAGAGAGGATGTAGGTAGGTTGGGGAGAAGGTGGCAGATCTGGGGCTGTGGCTATCCACAGCTTCTCAGAGCTGCTAAAACCCAGAGCCCTGGGACAGAGGGACTCCAAGGTGACAGTTGTGGGGAGGAGGTATTTGGACAAGCAGCTTGTTATTCTGGATGTCATCCTGATGACACATCCAAAGGCTTGTGCATTAATACCTCTGTCTAACAGCTTCACAGGACATTGTTTACAACAGTATGTTTGCCCACGTGGGCAGGAGGGATTGTTGTAGTCTTGAGCTTTCCTTAGCTGACGTGTAAAGGACTTGTGCATACAATAAACAGACATTTATTTATTATTAACCAAGAGATTCTGACACCTCTCTGAAGAAAGCTGGCACACCTCCTTCTTGCTATCCACTGTGAGCCCTCAGTGTAGTGTGTGAACACATTATCATCAGTAACAATGGATCTTTGCAGTTTGTTCCTCCTGATCTCGCTAGAAATCGAGAAAGCCACATGCAATCGTGGAAAATAATCTCACCTTTAAAGTCTGACCCTGCAAAGCAACGTGAGCATTTCCCTTGGTGTCAGTAGCTTTGTGCCAGGCTGCTGGGGGTTGTGTGTGTGAGTACAAACCCTGTGAAACACACTATTAAGTGCTGGCCTCTCTGGGATTTAAATGCTTTTAATATAAGAGACCCCAAGAAGGATATAAAAATACAACAGCCACTGTTTTGCATGTCTGAAAAAAACCCCAAACCCAACAACAACAATGTGTGAGGTCTCTCTACTGAGTTTCTAACAGCCTTTGAGGAACCCAAAGCTGCACTGAGTTTAAGGCAAGGAAAGAAAAAAAAAGGTGCTATTTAATTTTAAGGTCCATTAAAAGCAATTCTTTCCACATGGGAAAGGGCCTGGACCAGGGTGGAGAAAGATCATCTCTCTGGGTTTGGTGGATGATGCAAAGGGATGAACAAAGGTAAATTGTAGCTGGGGATTAGAAGCAGCTCTGTCCTGATGATGGAACTGTTCCCAAGGGAAGTGATGAAAGCCTCATCATTTGATTCAATTAAAACTGGACAGGAAAAAGCATCAGAGAATATATTCTGAGAGAGCATTGCTGGGAAATCAGAGAGCCTGACAATCCTTGTCTTTTGCACTTCTGATCTCTGCTGTCATATCTTTAATTGAGTTAAAACAAAGAGTACACAAAATATATTTTAAACCAGTTTTCTAATGCTAATGGAGCATGAATTCATTCAGTGCTTATTTCTGTACCACAGGGGTTATGGATTGATGCTTCAGAGCAGTGACAAAAGCAATTCTCTGGGCTCTCATTATCCACAATAGTTTTCTTAATTAGATGCAGTAATTCTGAGGTTAAATTCAAAAATACCTCATTTCATGCTTAAGAAAACCTCCAACAAGTTATCATAAAAATGCATCTCTCTGCAAAATACCAAACATGTGAGTCTCCTGAGAGGGAAGAAGGCACAAAAATCACACATGGTTGCTTGGAATTAGTCTCTGCACAGCTGCTTTATACTCTGGTTTTAATTATTATAACAGCACCCACTAGCACTGCTGCAATGAGGGTCTGTCATTACTTCTGTTCTAAACATCCCTTTTCACAGGTTTAATTACTCAGCCATAAAACTCAGCTCTGTTGCAGGTAGAACTGCTTGGCAAAGCCTTGGCCTGCTGAGTTTTCAATAAATATAGCTGGAACTGATTTGGTTGTTTTCAACTTGAGGAACAGGAGAATAATGGGACAAAACTTCCAGTTACACTTGTGATTTTGGTGAGTTAGAACCACACTTCTGAGGTTTCTCAGTTTAAAAGCCTTTGAGTTTAAAACTGCCTGGTTATGCTTCATGCACATTTATGACACTTGTTGCAGTTGGGTTATGGTTCAGGTCAGTAATAGTTCAGGGCAAAAATGGTAGAGATTCTCATCCCAGTTCATCAGGGTTTGGTTCTTCTGTGGTTAATAGAACCTAATCAGAAATAACAATGTTACTAATTACTGGCTGATAGTGCCAGTGGGACACTGACCCTCCCTTGAGTGACCAGCTCACAGTCTGAAGTCACAAGTGGTTCAGGGCTTTGCCATTCCAGAAAGGGACTGGGAGGGATGTCCTAAAAATCTTTGCTCTCTCAGTAAGTTCCCAGAGAATAGCACAGGCTGCAGCTCTGAGGAAAGCAAAACACTTCCCCCTTGTAGGCCAGAATGGAACTGTGACAGCAGAGGATGGACGTGGAGATGGCCATGAAATGTCTGATCCAACTAGTTACCTGGCATGCTGGAGGAGGGAAGCCCTTCCCTTACCCCTCTGAGCTGTCCCCAGAGAAATGCTGCTACTTTGTGATAAACATCACATTCTGAACCAGATGGTCTGGTTTCATTTCTTACCTCTGTGAACTCCTCTATGTGTATTGTTTTTTCCATTGTGTCTAAGGTTTCCATCTTCCTGTCATAGATTGCTGGAAAAAAAAAAAAGAGAGGATACTGGTTTAGAAAGAAGCAGTTGTGATTTTGCATATTGTACAACATTTTTTGCACACTGTGGTGTTACATTAACTCTCTTCTCATGTTGGATGACATTTATTTGAGGTTATCCAACACAGTAACTGAAGCATCTAATTGTACAGAGACTTATCTAAATCTGCTTCTTACGTATTTCTGAGAATCTGCATTTAGCTATTCAGAACTGCAGAATCATATTTATTCTTGACATAAGTTGGTGCAAATTGCAATGATTTTAACAGTACTTACAACTAATTATGTGAGGGAGGAAATGATTTTTGATTTAACAAACAGACAAAACTGCCTTAGAACTCTGGAGACATGGATTCTGCTTTGCAAAAGTGGAATCTGAAAATCATAGTAATTTACTCAAGAAGCTTTGTGGGAATATTTTTACTGATGATGATGTTCATAAGTGTGTTTTGGTCAGTCTCTGGGCTGCTCTAACAGAACTGAGAAGAGGCATCAAATGTCTGCATACATTTCTGAATGAGGTCTTTGAGCACAGAAATGCTACTTCTGTTTATGGATTATTATGATTATTTTTCTCTTCTTTCCTCTTCAGGTGTAATGAGAAAATTCACCATAGAATGCATTTATCTCTTGTTGGTTAAGACATTCCTAAACTGTACATTATGTTTATTAAACTATTAACACAGCTTAATGTTCTGTTATTGTATATTGAATGCTATTAAATGAAACACATTAGGAAATGGAGCCACACTATTAGAATCATAGAATCATGGACCTTACAGATCATCTAGTTCCAACCCCCTCAGCCCTGGGCAGGGATACCTCCTTACTAGATCAGGTTGCTCAAAGCTTCATCCAGCCTGGCCTTGATCACTGCCAGGGTTGGGGCAGCCACCACGTGGATCAAACGTCTCCACCACGTGGAGATTCCTTGTCTCCCTGAAAGATTTTTTAAACTTCTTTCCATATTTTTCAAGATCATATCAATGAACCACGTGGTGGTTTAGTTTTTTTCCAATCTGTCTGAAGCTTTGTGCTTCATATCCTGGTGTAAATACCCTGAGATTTGTTCTCTGTAATCAAATCCATTTGCCTCTTGCTCACAGTTCACATCAGAATTCAGATCACGGCAATAAACCTAAAGGAGACACATTGAAAACTTACCTCTTCTCACATCTACAGGAATCGAAGCAATGACATTTGGAAAAGACCTCAGGGCACTGAGAACCTACAAATCAAGGTAATAGTCATAGGCCTGTGTCATGCAGACAACAGCAGGCAATTACTGAAATAAATCACCCAGAATAATCAGGCATATGGGCCAGTCATGGGTCTTACACATAGGTAAGATCCGTAGGGAATCAAGGCTTGGTTGAGGGTAAAAGGTGGACAACAACCTGCATCCAGGCTCTAAGGGTGGCAGAGCCATCACCCATCCTTGTGCTCCATGCTGCCATGCCAGGACAGACAGCACTGCCACAGTGTTCCTTCTCCTCCTGCCTGGAGCAACCCCAGCAGTGTGTCCCCTAGTTACCAGTGCCACTGGTATTCTGTCGCTGCCATCCACCGTCCACTCCCTGAACTGAGCTGCCAGGGCCTCCTTTCTCATCTCTGCCACCTGAGCCTTCATTTGCTCCATCTCCTCCCTGTCCTTACATTTGCCCTGTGCCTCAGCCTTCATCCTGGTCAGCCTGTAGGACATGGGAATATTGATTAGAAAGATACCATCATAAACATACTTAAGATTGCTTAATCCTACCCTGAAGAACAAAAGGAAAGGAAGTAACTTTTTACTGAAACTCTTGTCTATGCGGTAGACATTTAAGGGAAAATAACCTGTGCAGCTCTCCCAGTTTGTGTAATTTCCACAGTGCTACATTTCACCTTCACATTTTTAATGGCATTCATCATTGATTGTGTAGATGTCCTTCAATTTCCTTCCCATTTTAGCAGGAAGACAGGTGCATAATTTTGCTACACTTGATTTACCAACAAAATTGCATCAGTCTCCTTTGTCTCCAAGCCCAAGTACCTTTTCAGACCAGCACTTCACTGGCAAAGAACAATGTTCAATGAAATTTCTGAAGCAGCCTCACACAATAGAGCCCTCACTGCCTTAGGACAAGGATAATAACCCAACCTCTCCATCATTTTGAACACAGAGTTTGCAGGCTTGGACTAAAAGTAGTTCCCTTTCTTCCTCTTGTTTTCTTTGCTTCTCTAATCACCCAGCCATGTTTTTCCCAATCCTCCATCTCACATGGCAAAAGAGCTGAATAAAATTGATCCTGTAGAACTCATCTGCTTTGATTTTGACTTTGTTCTTTTATGAAATGGAATAAAAAGAGCCTTTAGGAAGGTCAAAATGCTTAAAGCCAAAGGATCAGTTCATGTGGGGGGAACAGATCCTGCTCATGGAGGCTGCTGGAATCTCTCTGCACAGAGGCAGCTGCTCACTCTGTGGCCCTCACACCCTCTGCAGCTACTCAGAGAAAGGGGAACTGCTCCTCTTTTGTACCTGAGGACTCCAAACCCCATATTTTAGCTGTTTCACATGCTGTGAAATGGGCTGATCCTGTCCCTGCTCCCTTCTGTTGCTGTGGGGTCATCTCAGAAATTATAACCCAGTGATATTTTCTCTAATGAACAGAGAGGCTGTTTTACATGTCACAGCAATACCCTTTGATCATAGTGTTATCACGAGGTGCTTGTTCTTCATGGCCATTTATCACATTCATGAATCACTGAGTTCCTTAATCAATGGTGGGCATTGCACAAGTCCTGCTGAGGCAGCTCAGCCTCCAGCACTTTGATAGCAGGGGAAGGGTAAAATAATTTTCCATCTTCTGAGTCCTTCGCAGAGCCAGAAAAGAGGAGGAATGCAGCAGGCACCAGCCTAAGTGGACTAACAGATTTTTCTCCAATATGTGCTGCAGACAGAAAGAGAAAACCAGGCCATTTGTAGATGCAGCCCTTCCAGAGCTGTCTGCAAGCTGGAAGCAGAGCTAGGGCTGTGCTTGGAGCTGCCAAGGTGATTAATCTGAGCAGTGTCCAGCACAGGTTACACTGTGAGCTGCACCTGCACTGGGCTGCAGGTTTGCATTAATTTCTGGTTTCCTAAACTCCTGAGCAGCTGCATCCTCTGCCTGGTGTCCCTGGGGTGGGACAGTAACAGCCAAACAGGGATAACAGCACTGGGCACCCATTGCAGAGTGAGCTCGTTTCATATCAGACATTTCCAGACGAGATGGCAGCGAGGTGACTTCTCCCTGCAGAACCAAACATGTTTCCTCAGGAAGGCAGCAGCCTGCCTCCCACACAGGGATGGGTGACTCAGCCTGAAGGACTGCCATCCCTGGACAAATAAATCTCTGGTGCAGGTATCAGGCCATGTGGAGAAGGAAATTCTCCCATCTGTTCTCCTGCATGCCTTGAGTCCCAGTCAGGTGGCAGCTGAGGAGAGACTGGAGAAGGCCCAAGAGAGCTCACTGAGGGCTGGTAAACATTAGATGGGAACACGTGGTGAATCCTGCCTTTCCTGTAGGTAATGCCAACGACCTTCATTTGGGCCAGAATGTCATTCCTCACCTTTCTGTGCTTATGAGAGATGTTAAGCACAGACTGACACTGCTCTTGTAACCTTTACTCCCTGGAAAGCCAGTGACACACATGAGCAGTCGGTGCTGCATGGTGTTGGTAAAATCCTCTGTGATGCTGTGATTTAAGAACCCCATGCAAATCCCACAATGCAGCCATCTCAAATATGTAAATCCTGAGCTGCTGTGAATGCAAATCCCACGATAGTACTACCAGTGGATATGCAAAACCTGCTACAGGCATGCTTACAGAACCCCCCATGGCAAAGATGTCTATGGAGATATTTATTTTTACCAGTCTTGATAGTCATTTCCTTTGCATCAGCTACAAATTGAGAATCTGTCTCCAAATGTAAACATGGGCTTAACAGCCAAGGTCAAGATACAGGCCATGGGTAGCCAACACTTTGCATTCTACAGGAAGATCTGTCTTCTCCAGAAATAGCCTTTGATTCACAATGAGAGTCAGGAATATTTTAGCAGGGGGAAAAAAACCTCACAAACCAAAACCAAACCAAAAAAAACCCAACCCAAACCCTCAGGAAAATTTATGTATTTTAATTCAATTTCTTTTGCAAAATAAAACTGAGATATGGCTCTGAATTTCCTGTATCCAGGTATCCCTCTGTGTGGCAACATGACTGGTGAGACAGTGCCCAAAGCCAAGGTGTGGCAAGGCTGACATCCTACACATCCCCCCAACAGTCTGTGCTGGAGTGAAAACTCACTGAAGTAGCTGTTTCCTCAGCTCATTTGTTTCAGTGGACCAACATTTCAAAACATCAGATTGAAAATCTTTTACCAGCTCAGGTTGTGTTACTGCTTATGAAGAAGGCCCAAAAACTAAGCTCTTCCACACTGACCATGATGAGACAGTTATGATTATTTTTCTGCCTTTCTGGGGGGAAAAAGGAGGTAAATGACTGTATGAAATGCACTCCTCACACTGCTTTATTGTGTTCAGACGAGGCATCTTGCTATGAACTGCAACAGTGTGTGGAATGGAAATGTGGAGAGACAGAAGCTCAGAGCACTACGGAGAGATGCAACATACCCTTTTATGCATTATAATACTGGGAGCTTCAATTATCTTCATTTAGGGTTTATGCATAAGACATGTCAACATTTTAGTTCTTTAATTCCTGACACTAAATCCCTGAAACCAATTTTCAGGCTGTATGCACTATTAATGCAAATAAAGAGACAGCCATTCAAATAGAAGTCATCATTCTACAAACACAGACACAGAATGAAGTGATCTAGTAGTGAATGAGTAATTTTGACATCAATCACAATCACCTCTGGATCATCTATAAACCCAAAAGTTCACCTCTGTCTTTTTCTGAATAGAGCAATGAAAATAAAGCATTATTGTTCCCATAAACCACTCACATTCCAACCTTGGCATATTGTGAGGTGCCATGGAATCCCCTGACAATATTAATTAAACATTATACTAAAGCAAACAGCCTAGAAATAAGCAACAGAATAAAACACAGAACAGTTTCTGCTTTAAAGGGGGAAATAGAATCTGAAAGGAAAACCTAACTAAAAATCCCAGGAGGAGTTTCTGCAATGTGCCAGGACAAAGCTGTGGTTGCTTTCAACAAGAGAACTCATCCTGAAGGAGGAAAAAAGGGTTATATCTTATTAAGTTTGGAAGAATAGAGAAGAAATGATCTGAAGAGTCTCTAAAGCTTTGATACTAACACCTGTCCCAAAGAACTGCTGTCACTGAGCTCGACCAGCTTGGAAGAAGTTTGCATAGCACATATGTAACTGAGATAGAGTCTAAAGAGGAATTATATACCTGTGAAGGGCAGAATATTGCCCTAAACAGGAATAACTAGTGTTTCATTTTGTGGGACATGTTCTGGCATTTGTCCTGCTTCTCAGGCTTTCCTGAGAGACAACTGCTCCCCCTGCACTGCACTCCGAGGGGTGTTTTGTTTGACACTCCAACAGTCAGGCTGCAGGGACACCTTTCCTTTTGTGAAACAGAGACCAAGACACCAGCCCTCATGTTGTGACCAGCCACACCGTCAATGCTCTCACCTCTCTGATGCTGTACCTGGCATCATAGATTTCAGCTCCTCTGAAACCATCTTCATTCCTCTCAGGTACGGGCTTGGTTTTGTAGAAACACTACACTGAGGGTTATGTCTCATCAGATATTCTCCAAGATAATTAATGGGGTCAAATTTGGTAGTTTCTTTGTCTGACACAAGCACATGCTTTCTTTCCACAGCCATTAACAGGTGTTCTTTTCCTGGGATTAATGTAGGCAGGAGTTTGTCAAGCAAATAGATGCGAGTGTCAAGAGTCTCTCTGTCATCACTGAACCACTCTCTGGCCAGAGAGTCACAGGGTTCTCTCTTCTTTACCTTTTCTTCTTCTGCTTTCTGTGCACAGACCATCCTCACCTTTGTCTCTTGCAGACTCAGACACCTTTGCTGGACCTTTTGATGAAAACGCTCTCTCCATGGAGCATAATTACTAAGACATGGCAGTTCATCCTTCCCCTGATTGCTTTCCATTTCTGTGGCAGTTGTCTCCTTAGCTCCAAGCTCAGGGTGTTGTAGACCTGAAGATTGGGCTGATTCTTCTGGCTGAGCAGCCATAGCTCAATCACTGTGACACAGAACAAAAGCAGCACGTTACACAATGCCCCAAGATGCAGCAGGGCCCTAGCAGGTGACACAGGAATGAAGTCTATTGTTAAGAATGAACTAATATTTTTTTCTATGTTCCTTTCTTATTCTGTTACTGCTGCTTTGTACTCTTAAATAAATACAGCCCCTCTACTTCAAAGATCAGTGAATGATTTATAAACATTAATTATGTATCACAACAGCCCTTGGAGACAGAGCAACTAAATAAGTGTGTTCCTTTCTTACAGGGGAAGAAACTGAGACACAAAAGGGAGTGATTAATTCCAGGTCACTTAGAGACACAGAAACCAAGCAGTGAGCAGTGCTCAGAAGTTGTCCCCCAGTTCCAACCAGTGGAATCCTCTTACCCTTAGAATCATTATTTCTGTTGAGGTCCATTCCCTGCCTCTAGGAAATCCAGTGGATATGAGACAAAGGAAGCAAGCAGTGGAAAATGCCAGATACCTAGGAGCAAGATTCCTCTACATGCTGCCTCTGCCTCAGCTGTTCTGTAGCTGTGCAGAACAGTGAGGAGGTTCGTCCCACAAACTACTTATCTTCAACCCTGGCAACTATTTTTTCCTCTGGACATTTTGTTAAGGTAACGAGGACAGAGGTATATGGGACAGAGAGCTCCTACAGAAAGGGAAACTCTATACCATGAACTCTGTAATTAAGTTGTTCACAAGCACTTAATGTTGTAGATTATTCTGTAAAAGAGAGTTGCAGATATCTCCCTTTACAATTTCACAAACTTCACTGTTTGCTTCTCAAAATGTTCATTCTGTGAAACATCAGGAAGAAACTGAGCTGCTCACAAGGCATACTTGAAAAACGTTTCTTTATGTCTCCACTCATAGAATCATAGAATCATATAACTTAGGGGTTGGAATGGACCTTACAGATCATACAGTCCCAACCCCCTGCCCTGGGCTGGGTCATCTCCTCACCAGATCAGGTTGCTCAAGGCTCACCCAGCCTGTCCTTGAACCCCTCCAGGGTTGGGGCAGCCACAGCCTCCCTGGGCAACCTGTGCCAGTGTCTCACCACCCTCGCAGGGAAAAACTTTTTCCTAATATCTAGCCTAAACTTCCTCAGCTTCAATTTGAATCCATCACCTCTTGTCCTATCACTGCAGTTCCTAACACAGAGTCCCTCTCTGGCTCCTCTGTAGGCTCTTCAGACACTGGAAGGTGCTATGAGGTCTCCATACAACCTTCTCTTCTGCATCTGCAATGGGACTTACACACAGAATGGAGCAGAAGAGTGGCTAATACTCGATTCAAAGCATGAAAACTTAGCATGCTGCAAACCTCCAGCTCAGAGTTCAGCAACAGCCAGGGAAAGGGGATGTTAATAAACAGCCTGACACCTTTCCAAATAAAGATGAAATTCTGAACTTGCTGCCACACTATCCTTTACAAATTTTTATTTAACAGTGCTTTTCACTGAGGCTTTTCAGTATCCATAGCGATAGTTCTGCTTTTGATATGCATTGCTCTTCCTGTTTAAGCATTTGTAGCTGTTCTGAAGTGAGTTCAGCCTTCCAGGAAATGCATAAACATGATCTACAGCCCTCCTGGCACACCAATGTAATTGCTGAGATGTTGACCTTCTGGTTCATAACCACTGCTGGAGTCCAAACACTGCCTGGATAGGTGAGATGCTTCACAGCATCACATTTCTAAGTCTGTTTTCTCAATGGGCTTGTTTGCATCTTCTGGTAATTTGTTTTCAAAGATGATTACCTACTGGAGAGTGGGATGGATTTATGGCTCAAGCTGCCTGCCTGACCCACACAGAGGGTTTTACGTTGGTAGGTGGTTTTGCCACTGAAGGGCATGAGCTGTAAAGGATTTATAATCATAGAATCATATAACTTAGGGGTTGGAATGGACCTTACAGATCATCTAGTCCCAACCCCTGCCCTGGGCAGGGACACCTCCTCACTAGATCAGGTTGCTCAAGGCTCATCCAGCCTGGCCTTGAACCCCCCCAGGGTCGGGGCAGCCACCACGTCCCTGGGCAAGCTGTGCCAGTGGCTCATCACCCTTAGAGTAAAAATGTTTGTCCCCACATCCAACCTAAACTTCCTCTCCTTCAGTTTGAGCCCATTACCCCTTGTCCTGTCACTGCAGTTCCTAACACAGAGTCCCTCTCTGGCTCCTTGTAGGCCCTTCAGATATTGAAAAGTTGCTCTGAGGTCTCCACACAGTCTTCTCTACTCCAGACTGAACAACCCCAACTCCCTCAGCCTGTCCTTATAATGGTTGAAAGGGAAACCTGTCAACCCTGTGGAACTGTCCCCTGCCTAGGTGAGTTCCCTTCATAAGCTGTAAAACCAGAATCCTTGATTCAGAACAGGGTGTTCACCAAATGTCCTGGTCACATTCCAAACCAGCTGGTTTTGTTGTGCCAAAATAAACTGTTCTTTCAGTTTCAAATACTTGTGCTATTTTCTAAACATGCTTTATGAAACCCTCATCAGTTTCTGTGCAGTGTGAAAGTAACAACTACACTCTGCTCCATGAGGTGGCTGATTGAGAGATGATGAATATATTTTCTACGCTGCTCTCAACCTTTTGTTAAGATGGTTTTGAGGATTAGTAAATATTTATAAAGTATCTCTATGTCTCCGAACAAAACAAAACATAAAACAATGAGTGTGACTGTTCTATCTCAATTCCATGGCATCCACATAACTCCAGGAATGGAAGCAGAGAACAGAGGATTGTGCCCACTGCTTTAATGCAGGACAGATGAAGAGTGGAAGAACACACAAACACACAGAACCAGGCCCTGAAACTTGGAATTTGTTGAGGACTACAGGGACACTCCTCCAAATTGGATAAGACAACATTGGCTCATAAACTTCAGCGCTGTTTTACATTAGTTGAAACTTTGGCCTATAAGGAGGAATTTCTTCACTGAAGGGGCTGTCAGGCCCTGGAAAGGGCTGCCAGGGAGGTGGTGGAGTCACCAGCCCTGAAGGGGTTCAGGAAACAACTGGACATGGCACTTTGTGCTATGGTTTAGTTGACAACATGGTGATCAGTCAAAGTTGGACTTGATGAACTTGGAGGTCCTTTCCAACCTTAATGATACTATAATAATATCGAGAGCTCTCATGGCCTATGGAATTCCCACATGGAGCCCAAATAACAGCAAGCATGGAGCACAGAGACAAGCTTCAGAAACACCCAGGAAATTTGAAATGTGATATAAAGTTTCCTTTGTTCACACTGAAGGCAAGATAAGCTTTCCATTATTTAGTAGGATGCCACTTTCCTGGCTCCTTTTCTGTAAGACAAATATTCTTGCTGGAATCCCTAGAGGTACAAAAAGATTATCTCTCTGTTTTCTGTACAAACCCCAAATTTGCACATTTGCTCATGGTTTAATTGTTATTCTGTTAGGGAATTTTGATGGGTGGGATAGGGCCAGGAAAGCCTAAGGTTTGTTTAGGTAAATATTTTGGAGATGTTTGAGTTGCAAAAGTCCTTTCAGAAACAAAGCCCAATCTCTTTGTCAGTTTATTGCTCAGAAATAATTTTGCCTTTCCCTAATGTGTTTCATAGAACACATTGATCTTGTCAATCACAAAGAGCCTAATACCCTTTTCATACATGAGCTTTTCAATACAAATAAAATTTGAAAGGACTTTTGCTTTCTGAAGCTTTGAAGAACTGTTTTTCTTACCTTTGGAGCAGGTATCAAAATAGATCTTATTCCTCTGCATTCAAAGTGGCTTTGCAAATCACCAGGAATTTAATACATGCCCATCTGTTCTCAACCATTAAAGATCTTGAAGTGAATTAGGTGTTTGTCAGACCTGCTGTGGAACTGGGCTCTGAGTTTTACTCCTCTGTGTGTTTGCAGTTGCTAAGCAACAATCCCAAAGGTTGCTATGTCTCTTCCAAGATCAGAATTGCTGTAGGTTGTCTTTTGGCTTTGGCACAGCCCAACAGACTCTTCTGTACTGAACTTAGATCATTGCATCACATGACTGAAAATAAAATCAAATCAAAAAGACTATGAATAGCAACAGAGAACATTTTGAGCACAAACAGAGCGAGAATCCACAGGTGCCCAGTGACAGGTTTACCTTCAGATCCAAGGTTCATGAAGTCCAGAACTGTCACAGGCCCATTACCAGCTGAAGGGAAGATTGTGTTAACCAGATGTGAGAATCTGAGACATAAAAAGAAATTAATTACAAACTCAATTTATACATTTTTCAGGCTTTCTTTCTTGTGGAAGAACTGTGCTCCTTTGAAGTAGCTTTGCAGGGAAGGCACACACAGCACTCATGAGGGGGGAGTGAACAGTGCCATTTTCCTAGACAGCTTTCAGACCTGAATCTAAAGGAACTTGATGAATCTCCTTTCATAATCTCTCCTATGTTCTTGAAGAATAATATGCAACACAGGGAAAGGAGAAAGGAAAAGACAAACACATCTCCAACAGCCATTCTGCACTTGTTTACACTAATGTAAATCAGGTGCCTGTTCAGCTATTTCCTTGGGTTAGGCAGGACTTCCAGCTGAGAAATTCATGGCAATTTCTGCCAGGAAAAGAGGTTTATCTAATGCTCTTTCTTTCTTCATGTTTTGTACTGGAAATGGCATAATCTTTGGATTTGCTACCTGAAGGGAAACTGAGCTGTGACCCTATCTATGGTATTTGTCACTGGAACAGCTGCTGGTACCTTGCCTTCTGGCACAGCATTAGTCTCCATTTCCTGGGACAGCTTGTAAGAAACCTTG